CTTAACAACATGATTAACAAACCCTAAAAGTTTCAAGCAATGATTGATAAATAAATAATTATTTATTTATTAAACAAGTTAAAGTAATTAAATAATTAAAAATTAGAAAATACATAATTATTTTTAATTTTAGGTTTAATGGATTATCCTCTGTTCACAGAGCACAGAGATATTTTTCTTTTATTTTTTATTTTTCGACACAATGATATAATTTTTAAAGTTATATTTAATTTTCTAGATTTAATTAATTCAAAATACCTCTATTTATCCACTTATCCACGTGACGCTGACTAAATCATTAGACCCATCGAAGCAGCACACAACACTCTCCTATTCACCGCGCTTTCCACTTCAACTGCCTCGTTAGCCTGTGGTTCACGTTCCATCCGTCTGACTCCATTTGTGCAACTCATTTTAAATACATGTGAATGGATGGCATCCATTCAGTACCCCAAATGAATCAAACTCATGAACCGTTCACACTCAAATGCTAAGATCCCTCTCGATCAGTACCCCAAATGAATCAAACTCATGAACCGTTGTTGACCTCACTTTTGGTTGAGGTCTAGAATACTTGACCAATCACATGAGGTTTGCTCTTGCACCTTCATCTAAGTGAGACAAACACATTTATACGAATAGGTGGACATGGATTGCTCATTCTCTTCATAAAAGACCAAACTGAGGCAAAAATGGGAGTTTTCGAGCTGTACCTTTGTCCAAGAGGTGAGGCCTCAACTAGATGGTTTCAGAAGCTTTGCCTTGGTCCCACGAATATTCTCTAAGTGTTGATTTGCTTTGTGGATGGGATTTAGGTATGGCCTAGACCAAATGGTGGATTAGGTTGGTCTACGACTATGTTAGAGGGCTCAGGAAAGGGGGCATTCGATTGGGAAAGTGATTTTAGGCTATGAGAAAGCTTTTGGAAGGATTAATTTGGAGTTTTGTGGATTTTGGTGAAATGGCCGAATAAAGTCCTGGTTTTAAGCTTTAAAATTAGGGTTTTCAGTAGAGAAGAAGGGATAAAAAGGATTGGGATGAGTGTCACACGAGTGTAATGGAAACTTGGAATGATTTTGATAGAGTTTTCCCAAGGTTTGTGTGTTTCTATTCCTTTGATCGTGAGGGGTGATGCATTAATAGGCCAAGAATTAGTGTTTAATTAGGTTGGCCAGTGCGTGAAAAAAGGTGTTTATGTGGAGGAAAGACAGTGGACAAGGTCCAATGGGGGTGAGCCAGATTGGAGGGGTTTAATTTTGGGTTTTGGCCAGGGGTGGGCTGCCAAGGTGGCCAGCCAGGCAATGGGTGGACACCATCCATCTGTGGGAGCTCAGAGGTGGAGAGTTATGAAGTCAATTGTGTGGTGACAAGTTTCCAAGGGTTGGATTAAGTAGAAAAGGGTTTGGGTCACTTTCGGGTTTAACATGGGTTTGGTTCATGCATTTGGGTTGGGTTCATCCTCCAAGCTCGCTAGAGCTGATGATCAGCTTGGTTTGAAAAGTCCCAATCATAGAGATTAGTGTTTACTCATGGGTTAGAGTGAAACATAGGTATGGTTAAGTACTTTTGGGGGGAACATGAAAGAGCCTCCTCTTTTAGCCATAAGGGATAAAGTAGCCTGCACGAGGCTCATACATGGCTCCTTGGCTTCTCTATGGCTTGGATGAAGCCATATGGCTTGCTTAACGCTCATGTACGACCTTCATGGCTTGCATTAAAGAGGGGAGGTGAGAATTTCAACCCTTTGAAAATATTTTTATTAATTCTACTTTTGGTTGATTAATCATAGAATTTTGGACCTTAGGTTTGATTAATTTGATTATATATGGCTGAAATTTATCATGTGGGCTTTTGTTTGAAGTGAATTTGGAATTTGGAGTTGGTTTAACGGGCTTTTAAGATGGGTTACGAAAGGTTCATTTTGAATTATATATGGCTGAAATTTATCATGTGGGCTTTTTTTTGAAGTGAATTTGGAATTTGGAGTTGGTTTAGCGGGCTTTTAAGATGGGTTACGAAAGGTTCATTTTGGGCTTTTGATTTAGTGTAAATGGTATTTAAAATTAATCATGGTGAATTTCGTTAGGCCTTGAATCCATTATGAAGAAGTTGAGGACAAAAATTTGGTGAAATTGCACTTAGCATATGGGTTCAAATTTGGTGAATTTAGGGTATGGGGTGAATTTTGGTGTAGGGTTTAAGTGAATTTGAACTTAGGGTTCATGGGAATCAGGTTTAAAATTTTAAAATTTAGGGAGTTTTTGGAAATTGAAAGTTCATGAAATTTGGGTGATTTTGGTCAATTTGGTGGAATTAGTGTATTTTAGTAATTTTGAGAAGTTTGAGTAGTTTTGAGAATTTTAGGGTAATTGGGGCAATTTGGAAGAAGTTTGGTGCATGGTAAAGTGTAGAGAGGTGTAAATGTTTGGAGTGAGGTGAATGTGTATGTAGGATGAAGTGAGTGATGTGTGGAGGAGGTATGAGGTGATGTAAATTGTAGTGATGTATGGGTTGTGTGTGAATTTTGTATAGGGTATGTGATGTGGTGTATGTGAATATGTAGTGTATGTGAATTGTAGTAGTGTGTGTTGATTATGTATGTGGTGTGAGGTGAATGTCCAAGTCATAAAGAGCTTCTCTAAGGCCTTATGTCCCTATGAGAGCTCATTTTTTGGGGCTTCAATATGTTGGTCTAAACCAACTCAACCAAGTGTTGCGTTGGTCTAAACCAACTTAACCAAGTGTTGAGGGTTTGAGAGCACCCATGTGAGAATCCACAAAAGAGTCAAGAGATGGCAAAAACTTCTAAGTGAGGCGAGTCCCATCACTAGTCTTCTAGGATAGTCAATAGGGAAACCCCTATGAATAGATCTTAAGCTCTAAGAGAAAACTAGACCTCATAAAAAATGAGGCCAACAAAGAGATTTTATTTTGAGGTGGCTCATCTGATTGTGATACCTCCCGATTGTGGCCAAGCAGCTCCCTGTATAATATTTTTTTCTTTCTACCAGTTGATGTACCAACTTTCTTAAATATAAGTTCTTTAAAAAATATATATTCTTCAACTTCTATGTTTTTTATTTGTGATGTGACTTCGGTTATTCACCCTAAATTTGAAATATCTATATTTTTACCTTTTTACCCTCATGTAATTTTAGGTGGTTATCACTTTTCTGTCCCCTATAAAAGTGAATGGTTTTTTATATAAGTGATTTACTCTTGTCATTTTCTTATGCAATTTCCTTCACTTGCATTTAGACACTCAGGGCTTTGTCTGCTTGAGCTTCTCTGCCCAAGCCTTCCCTGCATGTTCCCTTTCTGTCAAATACAGTCTCATATACTCGTTTTCGTTCTTATTCTCTCATTTATTTTTAAGGGATTCGTCGTTTGTCTATAGTCGTATAATTTTCTTTTCCGGGTAAATCTGTCTTCTGGATCATATAAATGATCTGAAAAAGAGAGGAATCAGGAAACAAGGACGTACAACTCTGAAGACAAACGAGAGAAAGAATGTAGAGAACTTTAGTAAGTTAAACTTCGCCAGATAGCCCAACAACGCACATCCAAAATGGGTTCGGATCGAAAATACTTTGAAACATATTCACAAAGAAGTCCTTATGAAAGCAACCAACTACTAGAGATTCAAGTGTGTGTGTTTGTTCTGGATTCAAGTCCAACTCCCAAGGGAACGTATCCCCTTAGTTGATTACATCTTAATGGGTGCCCAAAATTACTTATGATTAGAGGAGTCCTGCTTACATTTAAGTGATGACTAGAACAAGGCGTCACAAAGAAGAGGTACCTCATAGAAATATCCTGTAGTTTTCAGAGCTCCTGCTAAGCCACAGGGTAGGGAGTGAATCTCTCACATCACAAACAGGTAGCGACTCATGGGCACACAAGGCCCATGAAATAACCTGGTCGACTCATATGGTCCATACTATGTTTTTAAAGTCAAACCAAACCTTAATAGTAGAGTGTGAATCACTGTATCCCAGACGAGCAACAGTTTAACCATAATCGGAGCCTACAAGACGACATCGAAGAAGCATCAGAAGGAGCACCAAGGATTAAAAGGGGTAGCAAAGGAAAGGTAGAGTAGTCCTAATTGAGTACATATAACCAGATCAAGATACCACAAATCCATCATCCCAAGCTATTAGGACCCTATGTTTATTTAGTTGTGAAGGCAGTTGACCCAACATAACTGGAGATTCTCTTGTCAGCAATCCTTAAGTTGCGCCATCTAAGGGAACATTGGTAGCCTTAAGGTTAACAAAAGGAAACCCTAAGTCCTATAACTCTATGTAGGTAAGAAGAGCAGATGCGAGACTTATACCTACCGAAGTGGCTAAGAAACCGCTAGAGTGAAAAAAAAATTATAGGTATGACTTACAAAGCATGAAAGCTCTCACGAAGGACTTACTCTCCCGAAGGTTATGCAGGAAAGTAAAAGTGTAATTTTTGAAACTTTAAATATTTTAATCATAAATTTTAATTTATCTTGAATGCTTTACTTATGATTTTTATGTATAAAATTTATAATTTTAGGAACTTTAATGAGCCTAAAGTGGTCCTTAATTATTTTTTAGGCTACTTCATTCCAATTTTTTGGCTAATAATATTAATGGTATGTCAAAACTTCAAATCTACATGTAGTAAGAAAATATCATCTCAAACTCATGCCTCCATTCTTTTCCTCCATTCTTTTCTCACATCTAATCCTCAATTCTCCACTCACAGAGAGAGAGAGAGAGAGAGAGATTTCAAATCATAGATGTGATTAAAGATGATTAACAGAGAAGACAATGGTGTGTTATTTTTGTATTTATTAGAAGACTCAGTGCTTTATATGTAAATATATAAGTTTATGTATGATATATGTAAATAGGAATGAGTTGTTTTATGTAAGAAAAAACCCCAAAATTAAAATACATTAATTAATTAAATTTATTGATGAAAGTTAGCTCCTCTTCTCTCACAGCCCTAGCGATCCTGTCGCTAGGGAATTGGAACCTGGCTGGGAACGCAACCCCTGGATCTCGGCTTACGGAGACCTGAAACTCCCATTTTTCTCCTCCTTCCACCCCTCTCCACCCCGAAAACCATTGAGGAAGGAAGGTTCACGTATTCTTTTTTGCGCGAAGCGTCCGTCCATCTTCGTTCTCCTCTTCGCCCCCTCCTTCGATGACAACGACCAACGGCTCCCCTTCTTCCACCTCTTCCGCCACCATGTCTTCTTCTTCTGAAGCCAACAATCCTGGCCGCAACCCTATTCCTAACCCGAACCCTAACCCTGGTTCCAGCTCCAGCAACACGATGCAGTCCTGGTGGGAATCCGTCTCCAAGGCCCAGTCCCGTATCCACGCCCTCTCCTCTCTCCTCGCTTCCCCTAACCTTATTACCCTAGCCGAATCCGACCGTCCTGCTCGCTCCCTTCTCAACTCCAGCGAAGCCTACCTCGCTGTCTCCGCCGCGCTTTCACACACCTCCTCTGGGTCCGGTGACGACCCACTCTGCCAGTGGCTCTACGAGACTTACCAGTCTTCAGATCCCGACCTCCGCCTCGTTGTCCTCTCTTTTGTTCCCCTCCTTTCCGGCCTCTACCTTTCCCGCGTGGTCACCTTTTCTGTCTCATCTGCATCTGGTTCTGCACCTTCCCTTGCTGGTTTCGAAGCCGTACTTCTCGCGCTCTATGGCTCTGAGGTCAAGGCTCGGTCGGGCAAACCCCTCCTTATCACGGTTCAGGATCCATCACAGCCTTCGCTCTACCACACTCCGCCAAAAGGCTCCGCTTCCTCACATAAACCGACCATTGGTGTGCTCTCTCCGCCTTTAGAGCCGCAGGTCGCCGTAAAATCCACTAAACGAGCTTGTATTGTTGGAATCGCTCTTGACTGCTACTACAAAAAGATATCTCTTATGCCTCCATGTTCTAAGATTGATTTATGCGAGTTTGTTTCGTCATGGGCTGGCCAAGATTGTCCGTGTCGCTATGAATTTGATGATGATGTGGATTTCTCCTCCGTGCCAGAGAACTCTGGTGAAGATGATGGAGGTTTTGAGAATGCTTGCCAGAGATGAGGAACTCTGGTGAAGATGATGGAGGTTTTGAGAATGCATCTGAGGAGATGGGTAAGTTGTCCATTCAAGATCGTTTGAACAGAGAATGCAACTGGGAGGGGGATGAAAGCACTTCACGAAGGGGGTCAAGAGTTCCACTGCCTTGGGAGCTCTTGCAGCCGGTCCTAAGGATTTTGGGTCACTGTCTTCTAGCTCCATTGATTCCACAAGAGGTGAGGGATTCCGCTTCAGCTGCTGTACGCTGTGTTTATGCACGAGCATCGCATGATATAACACCCCAAGTGATTTTGGCTGCTCGGAGTTTGATCCAGCTGGATAAGAGTACGAGGAAGAATGCCAAAGATGCACTGATGTTTGCTGCACCTGGGCCTACCTCAAATCCAAGTACTCCAAACAAACCTAGGAAGCCTGAGGTACTTTTGGTATCAAAATGATTCAAAGAAGGATATCATATTGTTTTCCTTGTGTTGTTTGTCTGTTTGTGTGGCCAGTTTACGATGTTTCCTTTGGTATTATAGTATTAATATGTAATGGTTTCGTTGCTTTCTACTTGTTGATAGATAGACTTGTGGATCATGGCTGAACCTGCAACCTTTTAATTTTTTAAAATTTGAACTGAATTTTTGTTAATTTGAATTGTCAATGAAGCTTGTAGAATTTCTCATGGAAGTGCACGTTCTTGAAGCATCTTTTATAGTTTACACCTTGGATGAACCCATGCACACACAATCATTGGAAATAGTTTAACCACCCAACATGAGTACTATCTTTTTGGCAGAAGTATGAGGCATTGATAATTGTTTGACAATTTATTTCCTTTGCTCAATTTGTAAGATTAAATTTAGTCATCCTTTTGCATTTATAATGGATTGTTTTTAAATTCAGTCTTATCTGATTATTTTTATTGCGGTGACTTAATATCAATCTTTCATTTATTAACATTAATTCGCATGTATGGTTTTTGTTCAATGATTGTTAAACTATCGCTTTTGTGGATTTAATAAATTTATGGGCTTTGTCGAAACCGACAATTAGTTGTTTAAATTGATGGTCAATGAACTATAAATTCAAACTTATTTACTTGATGAGTTTGTGCATTCCATCATATATTTGCAACAGGAAACCCTAGGCCCTCAGATTCTATGGATCATATTTGTTATCAACACTTAGGTTGTATCAATTTATCAATTAAAAGTTGTGATCAATCTCAGGGAGAGTTAATAGATAATAAAAAAGATGTGATTCTAACAAGTTTAAAAAAAAACCAATTGTTTGAAATGCTTAATAAACAAAGTCAAATGAATGATGATATTAATCAAATCAGAGAGTGAATTAAAAATTTAGAAATCAATCGACTTCAACCACATTAGCAGGGTCCTCTTGATTGAGATGAGACATAAATCATTGCTCTCAAGATTCTAGTGATAAGTGAACCCTTAAGATGATCAAGGGACAATTGAGACGTGTCATTGAATTATTTGTTGTATAAAAAATGACGCCACCAAATGGACCTCACCAAGTATACTTCTAACACATAAATGCACAATACACTTATTACTAACATTTAACATTTAGTGTTGTATATGGACTAATGGTGCATATCTTTATATAATTTAAATGATCACACTATCTAGATGTGAATCAAATAGGTAAACAAAGTGGCCTAATTAATTCAAATACATTTTTATTGTAAATTTACAATGTAATCAAGGTGGTCGAATCGAATTGAACATCATTCAAAAAGCATATAGGTAATTGAGAAATTTTAATTATAACTTTAGAATCACGCCTAAATCACTAATTATTTAAACTCAAACGACCTTTTGGTAAATTTAAACATAAAAATATTGCTACTCTCTTTTTTAGAAGATTTTTTAAAAATCCATTTTATTTGTCATTTCATAGGTCACCATGCAAATTAATGTCATTGTAGAGATTTACTTATTGATGTGAACGCTGAAGACAATGAATTTTTAAGAATCATTCTCATGAATTTCATTTTGAAATATGTTATTTAGAATAAGTTTTAGTTGAGAATTCATTAAGTGCTACGTGATATATCATTACAACATTTAAGATTGAGTAGAATTGATAAATAACTTCTATAATTAGAACTTTAATCATTCTGATAAGCTTTGCATGTTTTTGATAAATGTAAATTAATTTGAAGTTCCAATCATCCAAATTTATGTAAATTAGCATGGGTTTTAAAATTGTGATTTTTATAGGAATAAAAATTGGTGTAATATTTTTCTATGGAGTATTGACTATCATTTTAGATTAAAAAACATTGAAAGAAAAATAGTCCTAAAGCATACTATGGTTTGAAGTACATTTGTGTTATATGCAAAAGATGTCGGTGCTAATAAACTAGAAAAGGCACTATATATTATGTACCAAAACACCTTCCAAAATGTGAGATACAAAATAATTAATGATGCATGTTCCAATGGCTATAAAGTTCAAAGATATGCTTAACATTATGAGTATTTCTAAATATATTAACAATATGGTTTCAAAGAGTCATATCATAATCGTTCTAATGAATTACCTCAACTTAGAACACACAAAATGTACTTCTTGGATTTTTTTATCAACATTTTGTAATTTGCCATATAATAGGATAAATACAATTGAACAAATAAGATGGGTAAATGGCTTAAGAAAGAATTTAATTGGAAGAGTATGAGCTCTTGTGCGGCAACCTACATTGCCTAGTGCCTATATCTATGAAAAATGTTTGTTAAAAAATGTGAGTGAAAGGATCAATTTCAATTTATCAAAGTCAGACTTATCACATGAAGGAGTTCTAGAATCGTGCAAGAATTTGTAGGACCATTCATGTTTCAGATAGATCAATTGACAAGCTTTTGATCATATGATGATTTTCAAAACTAGGCTTTAGATGTTTTATCATCAAGAATGCAAGAGGGAGCTGAATGAAAAAAAATAGCTTTTAGACTAAAGATAGATTGTATAATGATTGGTGATGACTTTTGGATTGACTAATGCATCAAGCTCTTTTATGAGAGTCATAAATTTTGTTCTTCTACTGTCATTGGTTATTTTTTGCGTGTGTACTCTATTTACACGCGCACACACATAAACACAAACACACACAAGATTTGTTGTATATTGTTTGAGCTATTTAGGCTCCGTTTGGGGCCGCTTATTTCGAGCGGCGCGGTCCAAAATCACGAAGCCTTTTTTTTTTTTTTTTGCTTTTCCACAGCGTTTGCGGCCGCTCGCCACTAACTAGATTGTCCTTTGAAATTTTTCTGTTGGGCCGCAGGATATACCCCGCGGCCCCGCGTTCTCGATTGAGAATACCTTCGTTGCCCCGCTCCCCTCCCCAGTGTCTCGCGAAGCCTGCCCTAGCCTCTGGCGATCCCGAAACCGTGTGGAAGTTTTCTGCCCTAACGTCTCGAGTGAAGCCTCTGGCGATCTTGAAACCTCTGCTCCCGAGATTGTCGCGAAGCCTCCCGCTGCTTTCTCTTTCACCGTCGCTCGGGTGTGGAGTCCTGATCGAAACTGCTACTCCTGATCGGTATCTCCCCTCCCAATTCTTTCTTCGTATTTTGCTGCTGTTGTAGTTCTTCGTTCCAATTTTTTCCGCATTATTTACCCTCTCCTCGTGATTGTTCGTCAACCAAGTTACGGGGAATGTATACCGTGTCATCGTATTCCCTCCTTGATCCGAAGTTTATGAAGGCCCCGAAGAGTTGAGCATAGAAATAGGGACCATTTTCATACAGAATTTTAGGTATGTGGTAGATGCATTTCAAGAATGTCGATGCTTTAGTAGATTTGGATTTCTTATGGAATTTGGATCCCGGTAAGAAGATGAGGTTTTCTTTTATTATTCTGTTCTAGGAATTTTGATTCTTAACTAGTGTTGATTTTTCTTTGTAGCAGTTAGAAGTTTGGTGGGTAGGATTCTCACAAAGTTGTGATTGATTTATTAATGGTACTGGCATGAAAGTTTGTCCCAAGTAGATGAGATGGATGTTTTGATATCCAAGTCTTGTTCTTCTGCTAATATATCAGTTTGTTGGCATTGAATTTTCCACAACTTAGCAATTTCAATTTAATTTTCTAGTTCTTTTAAGTTTAATTTTTCGTTGAATTGTAATGTAATTTGTCACAGTTTTGGGCTACCAAACAATATTATGTATTTTTCTGAATTTTGACTATTTTATCTGTGATGTTATCTAAAAAAAGCTTGTTTCCATTGTCTTTGTTTCTTTTGCTATGTTTTTCTTTTTTTATGAAACATAAGAATTGTGTGGTATGCGTGTAATTTTCTCTAAATATGTTTGAGGGAGTAGCTTAGATGAATTGAGTTAAAGGGCAACTTAAGGCTTCTTTGTATGTTCTGTTAAATATAGTTGATGGATGCGCATGATTGTCGTGGTTCCTATAGAATGTTAACATACTTGTTGTTAAAAATATTAACTTAAAAAAAAAATCTCAAATTATTCAAATAATTTTTAAATCACATGAAGTATAATAAATTATAAATATTATAGTTTGTGTAATGTATGTGAAACAGATTCATGATGCGCCTAGTGGTTCTGAAAAAATGATTAAATTATTTAAGAAACTTATAAATTGGGTGTCACCAAGTAGCTTATTCAACAAATAATTCTAGAATCATCGATTGTCCAAGTGATGAGGGAATGCAGCAGGGTTCAAGAACGACAGTTACTGTAACTAAGATAACAGTTTCCATTATGACAGTAACATAACCTTTTCTACTGATATAATGCCACCCTTGGGAGCAAGCTTAAATCAGTATACCAAGCTCAGTACCAAGCTCAGGAAGCATATAATTTCGCCTTATGATCCACGATATAGGTAAATCAAACCTCCACTTCTGTATAGTAATATATAAAGAAGAGATTGCTCATTCTACTCTTCTGTTGTCTTTTTCTTAGAGCCTGGAAGATGTTTCTATCATATTAGTAATCTATTCAACTTGGATATGCCCATTTGAACTGCCTTTCTTACCTAATTCACTTTCTTATGTGGAGAACATAGTGAATGGTTTCTTCGGAATTGATATAGCTCTCACCTTCTTTGTTTCCTACTTGATCATAAATCCTGTCTTCTGGTAGATGATCACAAGAGAATTGCAACAAGGTATATATATTCTGAAATAGGCATCTTCCAAAGTATAATATTTGTACGTTCCTTCTACTTTATATTTTAGTAAGGTTTCTCAAATATTTGAATCTACGTGCCATGGTTAGAATGACTAATAAGAATATGTATATATTACTACAGGAGGTCGTGATTACAAGAAACTGGAATATATACATACATACCATTCTTCATCCTATGCATTCACATATCTAATAGTCAAAACTCCAATTTTTACATCACGACACTTTACCTATGCATGAAAATCTGTATTTCATTTTTTATAAGTTAAAATGGTGGTAGATTTTATATATTATGAAAGATTTGGGTGGTATAAATGTCAAAAATAAATTCTAGGTGCTAGAGATGTAAATATATAGGATTTGGGTGGTATGTAGGCAGAATGCTACTCTCTGATTCAAAACAAAGCTTGAAGATTGCAGTCCTCTCAAAAACCTTTCTTTTATTTGGTAATGTATTTAGTAAATGATGGAAATCCGAGATTTCGAGCAAGACAGTGAAGGAATTCTGAAAAACTAAAATTTACCAAATCCTAGACTTAAAATAGAACACAACTGAAACTTTCAAATTTGCACACAGCATTCAAATGAGCTTTGTGACAAAAATATGTACATGTATATATTTAACAATTTAACTTCTATATATATATATATATATATATATATATATATATTAAAAAGTTCATAGTCTTACCGAGGGGCGGACCCCCCTTCCAGAAGGTGTGCAATTTGATCCTACGCAGAGATCAAACCCCCGACCCGAGGGACTTACACCAAAGACCACAACCAATAAGTCAGGTTAAGACATATATATATATATATATGTCTTAGGTGGAACTATATATATATATATATATATTGTATGTATTTTGTTTTTTTAAAGTTAACATAATAATATTTTTGTATTAATTTAATTGATTAATAATTAATGATTAATTCATATGTTCACATTAATCATAATTACATAAATTTATATATTATTATATAATTATTAATTAATTAATTTATAAATATATTTTTAAGTTCTAAATTATTTGATAAAAATATAAGTTTTCTTAATTAATACAACTAATTAATTATTAATTAATGTAAATTTATTGCTTAAGAAATAATTTGTTTAATAAAAAAATTATTTTATATTGTGTTACAAACATTATTATTGCACGGGGTCGGGATGATCATTTGTCTAAAAACAGCTGACTCACAGTTGTTCTTAAACAGGTGCAACAAACAACCAGCAAGTTTTCTCGCAGCAACTTTCTGGGGCAGCTAAGCTACAGATGAAAAGCTAAGAAGCTGCAACTGCCCCAAACAGACCCTTACTCATCTTTAGCTTTAATCGTAGCTTATTTATTTTTCATTTATTCCTATTAAATGGGACCAATGATTTAATGCTATTCTTTACAAAATCCATCTTGAATAACTTCTATCCATATAATCTTCAATTTACACTCTACATTTTACGCCTTCTTCCTAAACTTTTCATAATAATTTTACTTATCTAGTTGGAAAATTTTCCATATGTCGCATTCATGTTCAAACCACATATTCTATTTTTAATTAAGGATTAGGAACTTTATGATAAATTATGTCAATGAATTATTTGAACTTAAATGAAGTAAAATCAATTAATAATTGGTTAAAACTTATTATTCTTCTTGAGATTTAAAATTTTTATTGTCTAGATATGACTTATAGATGGATTCATTAAAGAATTTTGCATTGTTTAGGCATCAATTACGAATGCTTTTATACAAGGAGAATATAATTGGGCAAATTTTATTGATTGTGCTTGTAAGGATATTGAGAAAATGCTTACGAATGCACATATGTTTAAATTGCCAAATTTTATTAAGATCTTTGAGATTTCATGTAATGTGTTGGATGTATTGATTGGAGGAGTTTTTAAGTCAAGAAGATTATTTTATTACTCATTTTAGCAAATGAAATGATTTAAGCTAAACAGAAGTTTTCAAAATATGCAAGTAGTTCTATGCATCTGTCCCAGATTCCAAGCCCTTTGATATTGTAGATATTATTTGATACCCAGAACGTTTATATTTTTTATCATAAAGCACTAAGGTAGTTGAATTGACAAAAAAAGTTCAGGACAAATATTTGAAATTAGGAGCATATATTTGCAGGAATACAATTCCATGTTGAGGCATTGTGTTGTGATTGAAAATAAGCATTCTGATATATTGAGCTTGATTGATATATTTTGAACACCTTAAAAACTGATTTGACTAGTTTTGTTCATATTAAGGACTACAGTACTTATGAGGACTTTATTGAAATAGATTATAAATTAAATAATGATTCGCTTACACTTGATAAAGAATTTATATGCATGGAATTTATTAAGGAACTCTCTCTAAGACTTAATATGCATATTTGATTCGTTTTTAAGAGATTATTTTATTTTGAATTTACAAAATGGTAATGTTGCAGATTATTTTGATCTGGACTATAGTATAGCTATGATCAGAGAAAGATAATTGCTTGCTAAGATTTAGAATGAAAAGTATTAGAATGGAGATTTTTTAAACTTCAGAGGGGAAAAGAAATACACAAGATTATTCAGACCTTTACTTCTTTCTTTTGAGCATTGGAAAAATATATGCATAAACTTTGTGCTTATATTACCGCAAACTTTTATGAAACATGACTACCTTTGTAATGCTTGATAGGTTTTATTAAATGACTTAGTTGTTTGTCTAATAAAGTTGTTTGTCTAATAAAGTTGTTTGTATAATAAACATAATATTATTTTATTTTATAAGGTTTTTAAATTGAATGGATTATCTAAAACCATTGTCTTATAAAGAAGTGTAATTAATACCATTATCTTACAGAAAAATGAAATTAATAAAATGGAACTCAATTAAAATTTTTATTTGCTGATTGCCCACAAAATGGTGAACAAAGTATAATAATTAGTAGGAGTTTGAGCGATTTATACTATAGTGTCTAACGTCATGACATGCATTTGGTTGGCATTTCGTGCTGTCTTTGATTAACTTTAAATATGATTCTTCTGTCAATAGATCTATATCCATGAGTACATTTGAAATAGTTACACAACTTTTACCTAAAAAATCTTTGGATCCGTATGAACTTCTTATTGAGTCTTGATTTAAAGGATGTGAACAACAAGCGTGAATTGCATGAGAATATTTATAAAAGATTATCTATTTGTAATGTAAAATTTATTTTTGATTTGAATGGAATATATATGGAACGCAAGTTAAATGATTAGATAATGATCTTTCCAAAATATTGAATGATTTTAACAAAAAAATTTTAAGAAATTAACTGCTCGAATATGAGGATCATTCAAGCATTGATAATAATGCTAGGAAATTTTAGAAAATTTAAGTGTTAGTTCAGTTTTAATATATTCAATTTGACTTTATATCATTATATGACCCATATTGCTTTGAATTTTTCTCGTTTCATTTTTTCCTAGGAATTCAAATTTATCAGTTTACCATACAAGCATACATATTTTGTGCTAGGAGTGATATTAGATGATGCAATGATTACTGATGATAAATATTAAAGATTAAAAATATCTTGTGCATTGATAAGGTATACCATATGTTAATTATTTATTGATCATTTTATACTAAGCATAAAAATTATTTTCCAAATTTTTGTCACAAATATAAAGTGCTTGATTGCATGATTCAAATTTTTGCAAATTATAAAGATTTTGGATAAATCTCAAAGTTTATACTCATTAAGTGATCAACATGCGCTTTGAATGGGACAAATTGACAATAAAATTACTGATTTTAGTTGATTTTTCTTAGTTTTTTTTAATTATTTTCTTAGTTTTCTAAATTTTTTTCATGCCCGTGTTTCTTATGAGAACAAGTAACTAATTTTTTAGATTCCTCCCTTGTTTGGTTTTAGGATTTGTTTAGTTCATTCCTTTTGATTTGCTTATTATGAGGCTTCAAGTATTATTACCAAGAAATGGGAGGTTAACAGAATTTATTCTTCATTGTTCCTCTTCATAACATTTTATGGCCCACATAACTTTGACTATTACAGTTGCATTGATTTGGGAATTTTTGTTACATGTAGGAGTTAGTTCCATGCAATTTATCCTTTACATTATTTTTTTTCTTTAATCTTACTTGTTATAATTATGTTCCTTATGACATGGATCATACTGATCTTCTCAAGGACTGCTTGTTTCTTATGGTGATATCATCAGGTTCAGACTCACATTTAGTTTGCCCAAACACACACAAAAGAACATATTTTGCCCTTCACCCATGGCTCGCTAGGTCTCGCATTCCTCCTGTCTTCTCACATCAAGCTGTTTGGAACTCTCCCTTCTGTTTTCGCCTTAGTCCTCATGCGATTACGCTTCATGCAGCCTTCAGGATCACAAACATTGACATGATTTTACACGGAGAGCTTCTTTCCTTCATTCTGACGCCACCAGCTTCGGTGATACTTCTCTTCAACTATTATGACTCTTCTCTCTAGTTTATGGAAATTCATTGTTTTTATTTTTGATAACTATAGTGTCTGGAATGGTATTGGTTTATAAATATGGTATTTTAGATGATTGCAGCAAATAGGAATTTTAGTTCTCATTTTATTTATGTTATTAATGTAGATTTAGAACCATTGTAAAGAAATGAATGTAGTTATCACGTGTCATTTATAAGGGAGAATGCTTGGCATAAGTTAATAATATGAAAAATGCTTGTTTATCATAACTTGAGGGGTCTGTTTAGTTTCAAGGTGTGATAAGTGGTACTTCCATTCTTCAAAGTGAAAAATTGAGAAGTAACTCTTAATAAACGGATTGTTTGCCTATCAGGAAAATGCATGTTCTTTTATGTTTTTGTGATTGTGTAAAAATTGTAAAGTGTCCGATGGTGGAATAGCCAATTTCTTCTTGCAAACTGCATATTTTGGGTTTTGGCAGCCATACTCGGTTTAAATTAGTGGAACCCTGGGCTCTTAAGGTATCCTGTCGGGGAGGGCACATCTGCAGATCTTGTTGTTAAATTTTACAATATTTATATTGAAACAAAAGTAGTTGTAGGAATTTTTATGAATTTTTAAATTTGATATTGTTCCTATCTACTTTATTCTTATGCAATTTTGTAACTTAAATTATTAGGTGTTTATATTGTAAACTCACTCTTTTTCTCAGAGGCAACAAAAATTATATAACACATAATGCCCTAATGCCAGGAAAGTTAACAACTAGAAAGCCTTTATTGATTGTTCTCCATTACGATAATTTTTTTCTTTAGAAGTTATTATTATTATTATTATTATTATTGTTGTTGTTGTTGTTGTGGTTGATGTTGTTGTTATTATTTAATAAAAAGTTATTTCTATTTATCATGTTTAAAAAATAAATCCTTTGATAAGATAAATTGTGTGCAGTTGCATATTCTTTTCACCGAGTCCAGTCATAGTGAAGTTAAAGCTTTGCTGGTTCGCTGGATTTATTGTACTTCTCTTTATATGTTTGAATTGTTGTACCCATATATTGGAACGAGGGAGCATGCATTCTGCCTGCATTGATATTTTTATTTTCCTTCCTGTTTAAATGAAGCTCTCGTATTTTCAGTTAAATATGTTATATTTCTTTTAGTCCTTATTGTGCCTATTAAAATGAGGGCATCATCAATCTTTCTGGTTTAAGAAATCATCCTCTAAAATCTTACTAGCCAGGTGACATATCTCAAGGAAATCATATTGGTTTATGATGTCAAAATGCATCTTGTTTTACGCGGAGGCTATTAAATGTTGGTGTGTTGGAGCAAAATGATTTGAGCATTAGCTGTTGCTTCTGAGCATGAAAACAAGTTAGAGTATGGAGTCATCCACGTTCATGATTGCACAAAGTGGAGAGTAATCCCTGTATATATTTGATTCAAAATTATAAAAATATGAAACCCTATTTTGTTTGTATTATTTTAAACTTCTACTTTTTGAAAGATGCTGCCAATATGATATGCCAACATCTTCACTCCGCAACCAGCGAAGTACTGTGTTTTACTAAACATGTTTAAAAAAATTAAAATTTTACCATTCTTTAAGAGGCCAAGTTAGGCGTTTTTGCTTAGTATACTATGTATAACTGCTTGTGAGATGCTTACTCATTTACCTGCCAAAGAATCTTTTGCTTCCTTTTATGTCAGATCAAGAACACTTATTAGGTTTCTTTTCTTTGGTGAATCAATAATCAGAACTTTGCTTTAAATAATACATTTATCAAATAACTATGTGGGAACTGTTTGCACGATTTCATGCTTTTACGCAAAATTGAACCGAACTACATTCATTGCCTTTTTGGGTTGAGTCAAAATTGGGCCATCAAGAAAGATTTAATGCTCACAAATATGTTGTGTTTCGTTTATATTTTTTATTTAAGCTTGACTAAATCTTTAAGTAAAATGAGCCACAATTGAATAAAATTTTTTCACCTTGTTATTTCAGTAGAACCAATTAATAGCCAAATTGATTATATTTAATTGCTTAGATTTTCTTTTGATTTCTTGCCTATGTTTGCATGTATTTGTTGTTTGATATTGAGTTATTAAGCTTTGAATGATTTATTCTCTTAGCATACGTTATTTAATATTCATGTTATAAATGTTTGGTTAGGTATTTTCAATTATTTATTTTGATATTATGCTTTTATGATTTAGTAAATTGCTTTTTGAAGAGGAAAGAACATGTGAAAATTGGGTTTTGTTAATCTTTCTATTAACGTTGGGGTTTTGTCTTTCAATTTATAGTTATGATGCTAATGTTATGGATAGATTATAAAAAGTGTATTTGTTGAATAAAACAAATAGGTCAAAACATTATAATTTCACTTGAATAGTGATGGGTAATGTTGCAAAGAGATTTAGCTCAAAATGATTTAATGAGTAGCCAAATTAATTATAGTATACATGAAGACACATCAGATTCCATATAATAACATGAATAGAGTTTGAATAACTTATTTGTCGAATAAATTACATCCACCAAAGGATCATAATTTTACCCAAATAGTGATGAGTAAAGTTGCACGAAGATTTATGTCAAAATGATTTGATGAGTGTCCAAATTGATTAGAGTATAGCATGCAAAAAGACACAACATATTAACTATGTTGTTACTTATTTAAGCCTAAAATGTAAGTTGCCATAAATCAATGAGGTAGAGATTCATTTGTTGGCAATTAATTTAAACATTAAAAGAGAAAAAAATATATCATATTGGTGAATATAACAGTGCTTATAATAGCAAAATAAAAATGTGAGGATCTAATAAATCTCGGAGTGTAGGGTGTTCCTATTATGTGGTATTTATCCCATAGTTTATAAACTTATTGTCTTGGCGTTAGCTTTACAAGTGGTTACCACTATAATTAAAAGATTTATCTATGCAATGAAAATTCTTGAACATTTATTGTGTAGTTGAACAGCTGATGACTGGTTTAATGATCCTCATATACTTCACATTAAGAAAGCAATGTTTGATTGGATTGAATGAAATTGTTATGCAATATTACTAATAATATAAAATATATTGAAAAAGTTATAATATTGTTCAATTCATTATTAATATATTACTAAAATATAATACTTTATTTTGATATGTGTTATTTATTTTATTTTTTAAAATTAATTTATTTTTATAATAAGTATCCACTCTTAAATAATATTTCAAAAAAGAAAATTTCAAAAATGAAATTCAATTCTCTCATGCATTTTGTTCATTTTTTAATCGAGTATCGTGGATCCTGGTACTTAGTTTTACTCTCTTACACAGATTATTGGATCTGTCCGGTTTTCAAGATTTTTGATGAAGTCCTAGCAGAAAATTGGGGAATACTTTTTGATTCTTTCTGCTTTACCAGTTTTGCAATGGGATCCATGGATTGCACTAATTTTAGCTTCTGGGCATCATTGATTAATATGATTATGGAATGAATCCTTGAGCTTTTCAAGTATAAATGTGAACTTTTAAGAATCATAAATGAACCAAAGTGTGATGAATGAAAACATAGCTGCAGCTTAGAAGAGTTCCTTTCACCATTTTCTTACACTGTAGGTTTTTCTAGCTTCATCCGCTTGCTGCTACTACTAGATGTACCAATAAACAATGCTTTAGAAATTAATTAAGGATTCATTCGGGTTAGCTTTTTTACAGCTTTGCTTTCTAGGCAGTTGTTATGCTTCTGCTTAGCTAATGCTTTTTGTTGCTTTCCTAAATTTTTTTTGTGCTGACAAGTTTTTTATAACCATTTTTGTAAATTTTTTTGGTGCTGACAAGTTTTTTATAACCATTTTTATTTTTGTTTTTATAAAATATCAAAGAGGTTGATTTATGCAAAGGTAGTAATGATGGTAATGATGATGGACGGTGATTTTTCATTCTTAAGAACACTCAAAACATATCAAAATTAATTCTAGTGCTTTCAAGCATCTAGATTTGATTTTTTTTTTTTAAAGAATAAATATTTTAAAAAAGAATAAATAAAAACCACATAAAATAATATTTTTTTCTAACATTAAATAAGAATAAAAAATTGATTCTCTTAAGATGCATATTACCTGTATTGAATTGATGTGGCAGCTGCTGGTGTAAATAATGACAGCATAACCATCACCACTGTCATTTATAATTTATTGGATCCTTCTTTGCCATTTTTCTCTATTGAGTGTTGCTTATCAGGCTAACTATAATTTATGAATTTGTTTTCAGGCAATTATGTATGTTATATTTAACCCACAATTTATGTTACTTTTCCTTTTTATATCAATGCTATCTCTGTGGTTTGCTGATTCATCTCAGCAGTTAAAAATAGGGGCATTTACATACATACCACCCAATTGCTATATATTTACATATCTAACACCTAAATTTTTCTTTTTTTACATTTATACCAAACAAACTTTTTATATAACATAAGAAATATCACTTTTAACTTTTAAAAAGTGAAATACAACTTTTTCTGTGTAGATAAGGTGACATATATATGTAAAAATTATAATTTAGGTGTTACATATGTAATTACATAAGAATGGAGTGATATGAATGCAAATCTTCCTTAAAAATATTACTGCGCAAACTAAAACTCTTAGCTGGAAAGCACTGAAGAAAAAAAGAGGACAGTAATTTCTGAAAAATCAACAGACAACTTTTGATTTGTCTCACCCTTTTTTTTTTAATTTTTTGGGTACACCTTACATACACACACATATTGAGATGTATTCAAGCTAGAACATCCATATTGCTTCATTTAGCAGTAACAGAATTGCTCTTCTGGTATTGATTATTGGACAACCTTTTCACCCAACTATTATCATGTAAATGTATTTTATTGTCTTTTATGCTATGAAGATTTAGCGAGAAATGTCTCAAAATGGTCCCCTGATTCTTTATTGGGAGCAATTTTAGTCCCAACATATTTATAAAAATGTCAATTTAATTCCAAGATTTTATCAATGTGGGTTAAATAGTCCTCATGAATATGAAGATTCTTCATATAACTTGGGAGTAAAATAGCGCCAAATAAATAATAAAGGGACTATTACTCAACTTTTTATCTATTCAGTTTTCAGCAGATCATAAAACACCTCTGGCTTTCGGTAGCTGTGAATTAACAAAGCCTGTAAAAGAATATCACATTATTAGCTTCTGACATTAAGAGCAGCTTAATTTCAGTATTCTGCAACCTTCCAAAAATAGAGAAGGTAATTATATATACATAGTCTGTTAGGCACAAACAACTGCCTAATATTTAATATTTATTGACATCTATTTTCTGTACAAAATTGCACATAGAAGATCTAATTCATGTCAGGCCTTAGTATGGAAAGGAAATTTAATAAAAAGTTTCTTGGAAACCTTTAGGCTGCAGGATGCAATTTTGTTTATGCTATTAAGTTCTGTTTTAACTTCTTTGGTCATACGCATCTTAAATTCTATTCATCTGCTACAGATAATTTCCCTATTAAGTGACTTTACCACCAAAAGCTTGGTTCCATACTATATAGCTACCATAATTGTAATTTATTATTTGCTTGGGTGAACCCTGCAAAAAATAGAATCTAATAAAAGCTAGAAGAGCAAAGGCCAAGAATAGTTAACTTTTGCCTCTCCAAATCCATGAAGAGAATCCAAAATTAATCCATAACAAAAGCTTTGGTTTAATTACCTGCACCGCATTAGCAAGGTGGAGCAAAGTAGCTTCAGACCAAGGCTTCCCAATAAATTGCAAGCCTATTGGCATGCCTGAAGTGTCATATCCAGCCTATAAAAAACACAAGTTCAACTTTTAACTGATTAAAACACTTGTTCTAAACAAGAAGAAAGCAGCTGTGTGTGTGTGTGCTTGTTAGGGAATGTGAATCAATAAGGTTTAGTCTTAACTCATTTTTAATCCAAAAGCTTGAGAATTTAATTGGGATTAATTTTATTTTTTGTTTTTGTTATTTTACTTTTATTTTTTTAAAAACATGTTTGTTTAGTGTATTTTTATAGATTTTTATTTTTATATTTTTAAAATTAAATTAACATGTTTTTTAACATAATCAATATAGCTTTTAGATGTTTTGATTGTTTTTTATTGTTTAATCAAATATTCAAATGCGTTTTATTTCAAATCAGAAGATAAACAAAACAAAATAAAAATAGAAAACAAGCAATTCCAAACGCCCCCTTAGGTCATAGGCATGAATCTACCATTAGTGTTTTTACATAACATATTTTTGGACTATCATATATGGGTCTGAACTCGTTTCATGTGTCTTAATGGTCCTTACCAAGATAGTAATCGCCGGCAACCCTAAAAAATTTCCAGCTATTGAGAATCTCGTAAGCGCATCTGTCAAAAAATATATCAATAAAGGGAGAAGCAACATATTAGAATTTCAAATATATACTACAACCATATTGCTATGCATGGCTTTAATAGAAGAAAATGTGTATATTAACTGATTTGAAATTCAACACACCTCCATTTTTGTAGTCGAGTTCCCCAGTGCTGAAAGCGTCTCTTTGAAGTGGACGAGCAGTCACACTATTGTTTAAATATAAAAAGTTTTAAGGACAATTCTTAGTTTTCATGCTTCAAAACCAGTTAAAATATTAATTTTTAGAGAAATTTACACATGGAGCGCATGATTCTTATGCATTTACATATCTCACGCACTTTGGTGTTTTAAACCTATGCATGAAAAGATGCTAATAGGGTTATTTTGATATGATATTAAAGATTTGAGTGCTATGTCTGTAAATATGCAAGTTTAGGTTTGGTAAGTACATGAGAATTGTGTTTATTTTGTAATAGGAAAGCAGGTTTCAAGCTTGATACCCTGTTGTAGGTGTGGCAATCACATCTGCGCTTTTAAAAATTTCCTTGTGGAATTGCATCTGACGATTCCTTGAGAAAGGTTAATGGTGAAAGGTAATAATTAGCAACAAATTACACATTTACAAAATTATTATAGTCAGAAAAGATAATCTCGTTTTATAAAATTTTAATGAGGTCGTCATACAGAACAGAAAGCAGTATTTTACCTTATTCTCTGTGCATTGAGATATTCTCTGCTGCTAAATGAGCCGTATGCTTTAAGAGCAACTCTAGCGTCCCATCCCAACTCCCCATGGCTTCTGACATCATACGAAGATTCTCACATCAGCTATTTTAAAATTTTTAATAAAAGTTCCTACATAAATATAATTTTAATTAGTTCGGAAAAAGATAGCTGCATACATGTTCTCAAGGTGAGTAGCTAAAGAAGTAGCGCATTCTGATCCAATGGTTACATAATGGGCAAGGCGCATTTCTTCCAGCTCCGGTATGGTCACGTCCACAACCTTGCACATAAAGAGATGCTTTCAGTTTGAACATGTAATATATATTATTACATAAGCCAATACTAATTTTATTCATTAGATATTCTGTTTATTTTAGCTAGTATAGATTAATTAGGTGTGTAAATTATATGGGGGAAACTAGAAATTGTTCGTTGATTTAAGTTAATTGAATGTAAGACAGAACTGCAACTTTTTCAGAAGAAACATTACCTTCCATCCATGATGCTTGGATAACAATTGTAATGCATCGTCACAACAGCTTCTAATATCAGCTGAGGAATCATTAAACCACTGTTTTACAAAAAAATTAGTGGTTTTAAGAAACTAGAAATATATATGTTTTTTACTTCGTACAGATGAGCAAGGATAAATTTGTAGACTAGAACAATGAAAGGATTATATGTTTTGTTACTGACCTTTCTATATTTGGCAAATTTAATGTTTGCCAGCAAGTGTGAAGATTTTAGTTGCGGAAGATTGAATTCAGGCTGTCCCAAACAGACAAATAATGGAAACTTGATGATGAGTACATCAAAGTAGGAAATAGAGTTATCAGAACATGACTGAAATGAGTATTAGATTCTAGCAAAATATATCAGCAGACTCGAGAGGATTACAAAAAATTAGGGGTGTAGCTTAGCCTGCTCGTGAGTTGGTTTTGGCTCAGTTCGATAATTGTCTCATGAATTGAGTTCAATGAGCCTATAAGCCAAGCTCAAGCTAGCTTGACTTGTTAGCTCATAAGCAGTCTCGTTTAAAAAAAAATAATTATGAGTACACTCAAAATATATTAAAATTTAAGCATTTATCTTTTAACTTACCAAAAATATTTTAAAAATGATATTTGGCTTTTTATATCATGTGATTTCTTATTAACTATCTCCTAAATGCTCATTCTATCTATCATTTTATTATAGCACTAGCTTGAATTAATATTCTTTTCTCTCTTTCATAATAAACAAGCCGGCTAGAACATATAGAAATAAAATCGAACTCAAGCTCGAACTCGATTAATTTATCAAGCTCAAGCCGAGGCTGAGGGTTCCGACTTGAGCTCCACGCGACTCATTTGCACCTCTATTACAAATACACAATGCCATTTCGGCCATGACTAACTTATCTAGTTACTTTAGATTAAAGGTAATATTGAGTAAAATTCTATCTTGCTGAGATAAGAGAAAAATGACTATATACTTTCTCACCAGCAGTGATTTGGGTTGGAACATAACAATATCATTCGCAATAGCTGCATAACTGAAACAAAGAAATATTTTTGGTATTTAAGACTTGTGCATGTTGACATTCAAGGTCAAAGAATTTGATTTATAAATTTAAAGAAAGCACGGAAAATGATCACTAACACAATAAGAACATCTTGGACAGTTCCTGCAAAAATTCCTGGTATTCCAAGGGTCCAGTTCACAGGAATAAACCTGAAATGAAACATGATTTTATGTAGGCTTAACACTCCTGAATGCTTATAAAAAATCCGTTATTTATGACGAACTCATAATTTACTAACCCTGAGTTCGGCAAACGCCCACGTGTTGGCTTGAAACCAACAATTCCACAAAGAGCGGCAGGGATGCGGACAGAACCCTATTTAAATAACAGTGAATAAAGAGTGACTCAATGAAAAAGTTTATCAGATGGCTAATTAGGCAATACAATGGTTGTTATGATACTGTTTTCCACAATTTATTCCTATGACCACATATCTTTCAAGCTGGTAGTAGTGAGGAGCTATGTAACAATTTGTTACAGGCAATACAAATCAGCAGACTTGAGAATTTTTCCATTTTGAATTATTTTATCATGAAGTTAAAAGTCACTTAAAAAATGCTATATTGAGAAACGAATAAAATCTTTTGTAATAGGTCTGAAAACCATACAGTGTCTAATGCCTTAGCAGTTCACTTTAGGTTTGGAGTCTACTTTCCCTCTGCCACTTTGATCTTAGAGTTTTTGATAAATTTTGCTTTTGATTTTTTAAGTTTGTTGGAGACCAAAATCAAAATGCTATTCATTTATAATTCTTCATGCCCATCACCTCATGTTGCTTTCATAAATAAGAACATTTTAGTTTCTTCTTGTTCATTCAAAGAAGAGTATAGGAGAAGTTTGGGAAAGTGATCAGTGAAGTGATCGAAAGTTGATGGTTATAAATTGTCTCTCTATGCAGTTGTGGATATAATGGATCTCATTAAACCATGTAAACTCTTTATGAATATTTTGTGATTCTTTTCTTGTAAATTATTTTTTGGGGAATTTACATACATACCGCCCAATTCCCATGTATTTACATATCTAAAACCTGAACTTTGCTTCTTACATTCATACCAACCAAATCTTTCATATCACATAAAAATGACAACAATTTAACTATTAAAAAGTAAAATACACTTTTTCATTCCATGCATAAATAGCATGACATTTACGTAAAAATTGAAATTTAGGTGTTAGATGTGTAAATGCATAAGAATTCAGTGGTAAGTATGTAAATCTTCCATTTATTTTTCCATTCTCATGATCTTCATTCTCCAATAGTTCAAAACATAATTGATATCCCATAATCAAGATAATATAAAGGAAAAGTGGTTCTTTTAAGAAAAAATCATTTCTACACCAATAAAAACTTGTACCTCCACCATCAACACCAAGTGCAATGGGACACAGTCCAGCGCACACAGTAGCTGCTGAGCCACTTGAGGAACCTCCAGAAATTCTATTAATGTTGTAAGGGTTTCTTGTTGGGCTGTAATAGATTAAAAAGACCAACTATATAATTCATAAATTTAATAGGATGGCTAAACTTAATGGCAAAAGAAATCATAGCTTACCCATAGTGAGGATTAATACCACTAAGCCCAACTCCAAGTTCGTGCATGTTTGTCTTACCAACAAATATAGCACCGCAAGACCTTAGTTTCTTGACACAAGCTGCATCCTCAGTGCATGGCCTTGCCTTATGCAGCCATTTGGTGCCTCCTGCAAGCATCAGTTGCATAAGTAAATTTTAACATTGAAAAATTTTAAGCATGCAAAAAAAATAAAATAAATCAAAATAAATGATAAAACAAAAATTTGCATTATACCAGTGGTAGGATAGGGCATGCAATCTATCTCATCTTTAACAGCAACTAGAACTCCATCCAGTACTGAAATTGGAGTTCCTAGTGAGAGAACATAGGTAGGGAAGTCATTTCTCATAATTCTTTAAGGAGCCAAGTTCTAAGTTAATTTCATCTAAAAAAAATGAAGATTTACATACTTACCACTTAATTCATTTATCATTACATATTTAACACATAAACTTCAATTTTTATATATGCACCAGGTTTTCTTTGCATGAATTGGTGTATTTCACATTTTAACAGTTAAAATGGTGATATTTATGATGTGAAATGAACGATTTGGGTGGTATAGATGTTAATTTAAAGTTTAGGTGTTAGATATGTAAACACATAGGAAGTGGATGGTATGTATGTAAATGACCCAAAAAAAGTACACGAAATCAATGCAGCATTTTTTTCACTTGTTTAGAAAGGGCATCCAGTGGTGCAAACATCACATTTTTCTATGAACAAAAATTTAAATAGATCTAAGATGTGTAAAGTTTCTGCTTTACCATTTTTCTATGGATATTGATAGTATTTGCAATTTAGTTTGCTCCCTCTATGTAGCATAATTATATGTTCCTTACACTTACAATTGCTAGATATTACTCTGTGTTTTCTCGATGATTGTGGAATTTTTTGTCTGAGTCTTGGTGAAAAAACATCCTATGTTGCATTAACTATATGCTCCTTCTATGTCTAACTGGCTATAATTTTGTGTAGCTTCAAAGCAATTTATTCAAAATATTGATCTATGAGCAATGTTTTTTCTTAATGAATGCACTATTTCTTTATGTCTGACACTTCTATGAAAAAACAAAATACTCTAACAATTAATAAGTTGTAGATCCTTTGAGGCCTCTTATTTTTTCCATGGACACTTCATTCTAACCATTTAGCTTATAACAGTTCCTTTTTCTTTCTTTTGGAAATTAAATGTTGAAATCATGTTATTTTTAAATTTTTCTTTAAATTTTTTTGTTATCTGGCCATTAATGTAGGAGAAATACTAAATCCCGCAACAATGCTATTACTCAAGTAAGTGTTTAGTTGGACCAATAAATATTGCTCCAAAAAATGTAGATCCCAAACGTATTTTTCATAGATTTAATTGGGTCATGATGGAGTTTGAAATGAGCTCAACATGAAATGGCAAACAACAAAAAGCTTGGGTGACCATAATCATTCAGCAACTTTGCATGCCTAACCTTATATAGAAAGGTCACACGCTTTGGATGCAGTGTTTTTTTTTTTAAAGTGCATTTTAAAAAATAAATAATGCATCTAGTTAACTTGTCTGAAGATTTAAGGGCTTATTTGGCTGCTTGTACATATAAAATATGATATTTAAAAAAGATGTTTTATTTTTCAGTAATTTTATGTGTAAATAAATCACAACTTTAAGAGAATTTAGAAGATTTCAGTAGAATGGAAATTAAAATGAAATTGAATCAACCAAATGAGCAATAATAAAAATCAGCTTAGCACCAACTTTAATGCTAAATTGAGGGTTAATATATTTACCTTTCTCATATCTAAGTGATGAATCTGTGGCTTGCCTTAGAATTTCATGAGCATCATAAGCAATGAAGAAAGACATTTGGAGCTGAGGAGCAGAGGACTCCTCAAGAGCAGCTAAAAATCTCTTCGCTACCTGCAAAGTGCCTCATCAAACTTTCATAATATCCACATATAACTATTTTCCATTAATGAAAACGAGGGAAAGAATCTGATCAAATAAGCTTGCTCTAAACTGAGTCCCTTCCATAATAACCATTCAGTGCATTTACATACATACCACCTAATTGCTATGTATTTAATTATCTAACACCTACACTTTTGTTCCTTACATTTCTACCAACTAAATCTTTCATATCGCATCAAAAACACCACTACTTTTATCTTTTAAAAATTGAAATACACCTTTTCATGCATATGTAAGATGGCATATATGTTAGATATATAAATACATAGGAATTGAGTGATATGTATGTAAATCTTTCTAATTGTTTTTCTCTTAACTTTCAGCTGTGAAGCTGAACATAACCCTTAATTACTATCAGAAACATTAAAAAAAGCTAAATAAACAACAAATAAGTTTTACAAATATGCAATAACTATGAAGGATGCAGCGGAATCAAGATTTCAAATGAATGGGCGTTATAAGATAAATCTTTACGAAGACGAGAACAAAACTATCAAAACAAAAATTCTTATTTTGGGATGGATGTACCTTAATAGGAGTGGTTTCTCCAGAACTATAAGCTCTAGAGAAATCCTGAATAGTCCAGCGCTTGAAACCAGTCTCTAAAGTGGTCTCTAGACTTGCTGGAAGACAATCCATGGCTTCTTTAAGTCGTTCAGGAGGACTCAGATTTGGATCAATGCAAGTTACCTCTTGTTCATGAAGACCTGAAATAATAGGTAGTAATTGGCTTCTGTCTAAGTATATTAGGAGCTATAAACATATTCTTATTTGTGCAGCATAATCATGACTAAAAGAAAATTAATTGGTTCCTACTGAATTATATGAATTCGATGTTCAAACCTTCGGTACTATGAGTGGCCATGAACATGGGTGATTCTGGTATTTCTGCAAATGTAACAAACTGCAGAAGATTGAAATCAAATAAATAAAACTTTAGTTGTTTGCAGTATTGTTACATAATCATCTAAATTGAAAAGGTTGGCCATTGAACTTAAGACAATATGAAAAGAAAAACATCTCACGTTGAAACTATCATTTTTCATAAACTCAGTGCAAATTAAATTGTGCTTTTAAAAAAGTTAAGGAATCGATTGTTCATCTGAAGCCTAATTCTAAAAGTAATGTTATTAATATTTTTTCTTTTGTTGGCAGAGCTCTGCAAGTATGTTTTGAAATTAGCACAGAGGGCATTGACAAATTAGTGCACAGACAAAAGAATGTTTGCATAAATACACCGCAAGCAATCAATTTTCAACTTAAAAATTAATGGCTAAGAAAATGGAATCGGTTATTTAATATTTATTGCTGTCGTAAAGGAAAAATTATTTCATGCGGCGTCCAATCTTCACCGTCCATCACATCAAAAATGTATTTCGGCGGGCCCCACTTTTATTTTATTTTATTTTATTTTTAAAAATTTGATCGTGGTGATCGACGGTAGAGATCTGACACTGCATGCATCTCTGCATGATGCATGCGGTGTCTGTATGTAATAATTTCTCATTGTAAAGGCCAAATCTTGAGCTCTGTTTGAGAAACAATATACAAGTTTTGCGCAAATGATAAAAAAAAAAAATCTGGGAAGCTTGAAACTCAGCCAATCCATGTGTTGAAACACAAATTAGAATAACAAAATTAAAACTTCAATCATCGCTTATGGAGACTGAAGGCATAATAATAATAATAATAATAATATCTGTAATTTTGGTATTAATTCACCAGAGACTATACATTGCAGGATAATCAAAATAAATTTAAATAATAAACTAAGCTTGACAAAAAGAAACAAACAAAAAATCTTGCAAGCTTGAAACTCATTCACTCCATATGTTGAAATACAAATTAGGATAATAAAAAAAAGCCCCCAGCATCCACATATGAAAACAAAGCACCTAAATTAATAATAATAATAATAATAATAATAAAATTTGTAATTTTGGAATTAGTCCACCGTAAACTATATATTGCAGGGTCATTAAAATAAATTGTGGCGTAAAAAAAAAAGGCTTTTTAAAATGTTTTGGATAACGAAAAGACACGCAACAGCTGATCAACTTGTTGTCACCTATCAAATCATAAAGGCCGAAAGAAGAACCTGATTGAATATGCAGGCGTATGTATCTATGGTTTCAACTCTAAAATTTGAAACCAAATCTTGCATTAGGATTTCGCATGTAGAGTTACATATGAAGTCTAATAAAATCACGTCACATAAAATATGCTGGTAACACAAGAGAATATTACTCTCTTATTAATCAGGTGTTATTGTGTGTTATTGATGCGTTATTGTGTGTTATTTAAGTATTATTGATGTGTTATTTTATTATTATAACATCAAAAATATTTTTAGAACACAATAACACATAAATAACATACAATAATATCTGAATAACACGAAATAGCACGGGACAAATATTTTCATGTGTTACCGGGCCAATTTTTTTTCCTTTACCCGTGGCGTGATTTCATTGAACTCCGTGCAGAGTCTTAAGCAATAATTTTTCTAGTTTTTATGCATAAAAAAAACACAATAAAGGTTCGAATTAGAACTGAAATTTAAATGTCGTGATCATCAAATCTCAGCTAAGAACCTTTGACATTGGCATGGGTGTAGGGTTCATCACTGTCGGCTCTGAGATTGATCTCTGCAGCAGGTTTGTAAATCTTCCCCTTTGATTGAAAATTGAAGAAACCCATCAAGAAAGGGAGGAGGGTTAGGAGGGAGGAGATATTGGATGTGCGCGTTCGCAGCCATTGCTCTTCTGCGTTCCCTGAACTTATATAGAGAGATTAATGGAGACTGCGTCTAAAAGAAGAAAAAAACAATTCAGTGAGACCATCAGAGCGAGCATTTGAACGTATTATTACATAACTAAACTACCGATCATGATGACCGCGTTGATCCAGTAGTGGCTCCAAAACAGCAAACTCAGCATCAGACACACATGCCACTTAAATTCTTATTTATTTACACATTGTCGGCGTTTAAAAAAGGGGGGAGTTACGTTTGGGGGTCGCCCGTAAGAAGCTGTCGGTCGCCGGAATCGAAATCCCGTCACCCGCTTCGGAAGGACTTTTTAATTTACATATATATATATAATTTTAGAAAAATACGAAATCAAACTGACCTCATATTTTCCATAGTTTAAATGAAAGAGCACTCAACCTCAGCCCTTTCTGCTTCGTCGGTGTTATGTTGCTTAGCTTTCATCTGCCTCTGCTCCACGAGTCTGCTCGGCGTTCGTCTTCTCTCTGCTCGACGAGTCTGCTCAGCGTCGCTCGCTCGGGTTCGTCTGCTCGACGAGTCTCGAAGCTTCGCGTTTCCGTTCTGCTTCCTCTGCTCATGAAGCTCACTGTTCTTGCGCAGCAACTTTGCTGCAGCTTAACTCCGACAGCTCTCCTTCTCTGATGGCGCCTCCTTCTTGTTTGGTTGAGTCGGACAAAGTCCCATTTGCTCAAGTGGTGGGTAACTCTCGCGTAGAGTCCGCAGTGGGATTTCCCTCAAGTTATAAGGAATCTCGTGAGGGTAGAGTTGATTGTCCTTTTATTAAAAAGGGAAGCGGGAAAGGCGGAAAAGATGCAATCTTTTTCTCTGAAACAAAAATTTTTACCCTGACGGAAAAATTCAAGTTTGCTCTTATTGGAAAATTTCAGTGGGGACACCCTCCTATGAAAGTTATCAGAAATGGTAAGAGTGTTGATGATCTTAAGCTAGTAGGCAAATGGAAAATGGGACTCATGGATAGGAGACATGTGTTGATCCAACTAACAGTAACTGAAGACTACACAAGAATTTTCTCCAAGAAATAACTTAATATTGAAGGCAAATCAACGAAGTTACTCAAGTGGTCTCCTAATTTCGACCCAACTCATGAAACTCCCACTGTACCGATATGGTTTAGTTTATCTTGTCTCAAGCTGCATTTTTTTCACCATCAGTTTCTCTACTCTATTGGGGTCATCATTGGGAATTCTTTGAAACTAGATCTGCCTACTTTCAATCTGACCAGACCCTCAAGTGGCTAAAATACTTGTGAAAAAGGATATTACTTTACCAGATGTTACTTAATTCTGGCTGGGCACAACCCATAATGGTTATTGACAACAAATCATTATAGAACACAAACCCCCATATTGTATCCACTGTAAGATATTTGGTCATATTCTTGCTAAATGCCACAAATTTTATCCTAATTTGAAATTTAAGGGTTAAGTGAATAAGGATGGGTTTAACCTCACTGCTGTGGACATTTTAGTTCCACCTGAGGATGATACTACAGACAGGAGGTGTCTGTTGCACCTGAGGACCCCCCCTTGACACTGCTATTACTGTTACTACGAGTGATGCGATGCTGGCACCTACAAACTCCATACAATATAATTATGATGGACTATTGCCTATACATGATAGTGTTCAGACTGATAATCAGGAGAACCTCATAGCTCCACTTCTTTAAGAAGTAACCGATGTAGCGGCAACTCACACTTCTCATGTTGTAGAACCTATTGTGGGTACTACTGTTTCTTCTGGTTCAGCTCTACCCCATCAGGCGAATTCTTCGGAGGAGGAATGACAGGTTTACACTTCCAGGAGGAAGCAGAAGAATGGAGATCTATTAGAGCTCAGGAGTCTTATGGATGATACTTTGGTTACTACGGGTAATGGTCAACACCTTACCAATCTGCTAGTTGGATCACTACCGAGAACTAGAGCCAGAGGCAAGACTAGATTGGGATGACCCACACTTTTTCAGTGCCCGGGTGGTTTTTGGGTTTCTTTATATTTCTATATGTACCAATATTTTATATTCTTTTGTGTGTGTTGTACCGTGTGGTTGGGTGTTTAGACCCACCCATACAAACCTATCTCTATTGGGGTCATCATTGGGAATTCTTTGAAACTAGATCTGCCTACTTTCAATCTGACCAGACCCTCAGTGGCCAAAATACTTGTGAAAGGGGATATTACTTTACCAGATGTTGCTGAAGTCTAGCTTGACACAACCCATAATGGTTATTGGTAACAAATCGTCATGGAGCACAGACCCTCATATTGTGCCCACTGTAAGATGTTTGGTCATGTCCTTGATAAATGTCATAAGTTTCATCCAAATTTGAAATCATTTAACTCCACTGTTGTGGACATTTTAGTTCCACCTGAGGATGATACTACAGACAGACTGTGTCTGTTGCACCTGAGGACCCCCCCTGACACTGTTGTTACTATTACTACGAGTGATGCGATGCTGACACCTACAAACTCCATAGAAATCATACAATATAATTCTGATGGACTATTGCCTATAAATGATAGTGTTCAGATTGATAATCAGGAGAACCTCACAGCTCCACGTCATCAAGAAGTAACCGATGTAGCGACAACTCACACTTCTCATATTGTAGAACCTATTGTGGGTACTACTGTTGCTTCTGGGTTAGCTCTACCCCATCAGGAGGAGGAATGACAGGTTTACACTTCCAGGCGGAAGAAGAAGAATGGAGATCTATTAGAGCTCAGGAGACTTATGGATGATACTTTGGTTACTACGGCTAATGGTCAACACCTTACCAATATGCTAGCTGGATCACTACCGAGAACTACAACGAAAGTCAAGGCTAGATTGGGATGACCCACACTTTTTAAGCGCCCGGGTGGTTTTTGGATTTCTTTAAATTTCTATATGTACCCATAGTTTATATTCTTTTGTGTGTGTTGTACCGTGTAGGTTGGGTGTTTAGACCCACCAATACAAACATATATGTATCTTTATCTTTAATATATCAGCCCTTGGGCTTTTTCATACACACACACACACACACACACATACATACATCTATATGTATGTATGTATGTATGTATGAGCTTGTGGCTTGTTTAACTAAGCTCAATCGGTTTCGAGTCGGCAGGATTAACTTGGTCGGTGTTGTCAATCGATTTACCCAGTATGACTATCATAATAGAATAGGGACTTCTAGGCATCCTCGATATTATTAGAGATGCTCAGGAATATGGCCTTCCCTCAGTTGGCCTTCCTCATGAAGGTTGGCTCGAATGTCTCTTTATCTTGTTTCTGACTGAGCAGTTCGAACTCAAATCATTTGGTTGTCTTTTATGGTGCGGTTAACTTTGCCCTTGTCAACTTTAGCTCAGATGGCTTCACTTGGTCGAATAAGTAGGCATCATGTTAGTCTGTCAGTCAACCATCCCTCCTCATACTCTTCTCATATGTATTGCTAGATCTCCTCAGGATCAGATCTGACACACTTTTAATGTATCTATTTTAGTGATTCTCTTGCTTCCTCAAAGTGACGTTGTGATAAAAATAAATGAATTTAATACAAAAAAGTAGATCACGTGTACTCTTAGTCAATGATTTGATAACTGAATTCCCATGATTTTTGCGCATTTTAACCTTATAAATAAGACGTGACTTGCTCTACATCCCTTCTTATTTGAATTGATCAACTTCCAAGCACTGCAATGGTGAATGTGCCAAATCACCCAGTCGATGACCTCGGAAAGGTATGTTTTGTGATGCCTTCGGGGGATCGAATGAGCTATAATGTCTGGCATTAAAGGTGAAAAGAAGAATAAAATCATTGTTAAAAAAAGAAAAGTGGCCATGTTTTCGGATCAGGTAGGGTCTTTTAATTCATTCCTAACTCTCGGTGGAGGAACATTAAGGCAACTAACCTAACCATCGATCCGTCAACTCAACCTTCTAGTACGGCACAAAACTTGCTAACCAAATAAACTGCATAAAATGTTGTTGATGGTCAGCCACCGCTTAGGTCACAAGAAGCTATTGGTGCTCTGCAACCACTTTGTGAGAGCAACATGTCAGTTACATCATTTGAGTGTGATCGACTCCTTGGTATGAAGAGCCTCGGTCTTGCTGGTTAGACTTTGAATTTTTTGTCCCCACTTTTTATGTTATCTCTGGTGTAGCTGACCTGGTCCTAATAGTCTTCAGTGAAGACTCACCTCCGAAAAATGTTGTTGGGAACTTGATCATGGTGTTAGCAGTGGTAGCCGAAGCGCAAGCCTAGGGTGGCTAACTCTTAAGCAAGGATCGTGGTGTTGATCTCCCATGCTGTCCTCTTTAGACCCATGGGAAAGAAACTGATGGACTTCATATATTCCTCGGGTTGTTGGCTCACTACCTAGGTTAGATCGAGAACAACTTCGCTTGTTCAGTTAGGGTTTATCAAGGAGAGGAGATACACAAGTTGCTTACTCATGTGGATAAAGTGTAGAGTATGGAGGAGGTGATGGTTGCCCTTCATTAGGAACTTTGAGATATATGGGAGAGATCATTCATTTTTTGGGCTCGACT